AAAAAAAAAACAACAAAAAACAAAAAATCAAATCAAAGGGGTGGAATTGGAAAATGAAGAGGTGTACTTATAGAAAACCCTTTAAGACACATTGACACCCAAAATTAGATTGATATAAACATTAAAATCATATTGATAGAAACACAGAAAATCAGATTGATTGTGCATACAAATACAAATATTTACTTCTCAAATAAACCTTTCAACCAAGCTCCAGAAACACCAAAAATATAAAATTATTTAAGATTTTTTAAAATCTTAAACGCCAATATTCACAAGCATCTTCAAAAAGTTGAGTAAATGCTAACCAAGAGTCCAAGACGTAAAGAAAAGGAGTTCCAGACTTCAATTCCATTCAAAATTAAACCAGTTCTAATCAAAATCCAAACAAAAACTGAAATATTAATCGTAACTAACAAACATAAACACAAAACTAGACTGCTAATTAATTCAATTCTACCACCTTCCTTTGGGTTTCTTAAAAAAAACAAGATTCCTCCAAATAGGTGATCGAAATTGAATTTGAATTGTTTTAAGGCAACAAACAGATAATGGTACACTTCATGAGCTTTGTTTATGTAAAGATTTTAGCTTTATACAACTTTTTTCCGCCTGTTCTTGTTTTTGTTTTTTTTTTTCCATTTATTTCCTGGTTCAAAGGGAGGTAAGTAAGAAAAATGAGTTTTCCAAGGCTAAGGGGAGTGGTAACACGTAAGTTTTTTTAAGCTACATAGGAAGAAGAGTGTGATAACATCTAAGTTGTAAAAGATAGGGAGTGGTAGCATTTAAAATGTTGTTTTATTTTAGTTTCAAAAAAATAATATAAAATAAGAAATAAGCCAATCACAACCTTTCTCTTCCATTTCTCTTTCTTTTTCCTGTCGCTAGAAGTCTGGCGAGCCACATTTGGCGAGGTAAGCAGCGACTATGATGCGAGTGGTCATAGCGAGAGTGGCGAGCTTCTGGCGAGGGCCACTCCCTCCAACCCAAGAGGGTTTGATTGATGCATTTTGTGAGCAATCATTTTTTTAGATTAAAGAATGTAGTGATGGCATACAAGTGCCAGAATGACAAAGAGCCATGTAAATATTCCTGGAGAAAACAAAAATGGAACTAAAATCAGTCACCATATTCTTTAATTTGCAAATTATTATAGAAATTAATTAAAGATTTACTTAGATTAATTACTGAAGTAATTAGAAACTCATCGGCACAACTTGATTCACAAAGATTAATGAAAAACGAATTTCACGATAGATAAGTGAGACAGTGAAACCAAGTAACAAACCCCAATGAAGGGAAAATTATGTGGAAGCAAATCCAAAATAGTTCATCATACTTTCAAATAGTAGCCCTAATCCCCTAAACCGAACCCTAGAAATTGCTTTGATAAGGAAATTAAACACCCCATCGACTACTCCCGTAAGATTCTTCATCTTCCCCGATAACATGTAAGGACTAGCACCTCGAACATTCGTGCAACAATCTCGCAGTAGCATCAACAACAAAAAAAAAATTAACATTTCTTGGATCATTTTAAGAGGTAACACGTGCTACTCCTTGCTCCTAGCTAGTTCCACCACCGGAACTGAAAGCAAATATTTGTCTCTCTTCGTAGAGCTACAGTTAATCCTCTAGTTAATCCTCTAGCATCAGTGTTGCTAACTTTTGTGTCTCGGTCCCTCGTTCTCAAAACTACATCCCAACCAACAACATCGTCGTCTCTCCAATCCACCATATTTGTAAGTAAACTCTCACACGTGAACATTTTGTTAAACTCTAGGCTCCATCAAACTTTTAAAAATATGAATTGACACATCAACATTTTATTATATCATTTTTTTATAAATAAAACTAGAATATTATATTAATTAGAAATTAAAATTAAAATATATAAATTATTAATTAAAGATTACAAGTTATAAATTAAAAGTTACAAATAATACATTAAATAAAAAATACATCTAAAATACAAATTTTACTACATATTGTATTTTATTTTAATCTCGTCGCCACGGTTTCTTCAAATTTCACGTCCATCTTCCGACATTATACTGAGATCCATGAAAAGGATTAAAAAATTTTCATTCTTTACATTTTCTTCTTTAATTTTCATTTTTTTTTTCTTTCAATGCATTCTTCATATCCAAAGATTTTTGGCAATGTTTGAAACTATTTATTTTCTTCTATATGTTTTTGAAGTATTTCATCGAGCCTATCACCCGATGACGAAGTGGAATTGGTAGCTTTTCCTTTTGCCGCTTTTTTTGTTGCATTCCACCAATCAGACGAGTTGTAACTTCATCATTATCCAAGTTAATGAATGATTTTGTATTTGATGAAGACATAAACGCCCCAAATGCAGTGCTTCAACCTTTCCATTTGGATTAATTTTTAAGGATATTCTAAATTTGTTCGTGCCTAAAATTTGCATCATATCTTGCATGATAATGATCAAAAACTACACTTTTGAAATCATCCTCATAGCATCCACTGAGGTGCAGACTTTTCAACACTATATACATTTGATTAAATGCAATTGCAACTAGGTTATTGTAATAACAATGCGTCTTGAGGTTGGCTTGAGTTATTGCAAAGTTCGACGTGTTGTTACTTTCGTGGTACGTAGTAATTCGTCGCCAGAACTCTTTATCACGTTGTTGACTTCTAATAATGTTTTCCTTGGAAATTTGTAGTCAAGCTTTTGCCAACAACATTTCTTTTTCTTTACTCAATTAGGTTTTTTTTGTTTGTTGGTGGAGTTTTTGTTGGTGTTGGCTTATTTTTTGGAATATGGGGAGGATCCGGACATGTAGAATATATATGTATTTTAGTAGGGACGGTGTGGAGATATCGAGTATGAATGTTGTGGATGATTGTTTGGATTTGGGGACGGATACTGTGGATGATTGGCCAAGAAATAACACTTTAGTTTGAGTACCCTTTCATGTACAAACTCTTTTAATGCTACACCCGGAACAGTGTACTCAGGGTTCCAAACCTCCAGTGAGTGACTATAGACGATAATGTCATTGAGGTTTTTCTGGTCAAGGTATGGCTTTGAGTTATCC